GTTTTCCATTTGTTATATCCCAAGAGGACTTGCTCTTTCATTTCAGCAAGTCCAACAATTCCACCTTGTTTCATTGAGTACCAAAGATGCCAGCCCCAATTTTCATTTTTTGTTCACTTGGGCACATGTCCCAAGCGGTTAGAATTTTTTCACATTCAAAAGTTTGTTTTTTTTTTTTTTTAAAGAGAATAAAGAAACACCTTTCATGATGGAGTATTTCATATGATCACAACTTCCCTACATTTGCTCACAACTGATTATGCAAGATGGTCATTGCTTTACCTGCTGCCATCATCAGATCCGATAAATAGGCAATAATCTTAAATACTTTCCAAGTCTCCACAAACCTTCCCATCCTGAAAACAGGTGTTGCTTAAGGCAAAGATAAAGACTGCTTGGATTCTGGATTGTAAATGCACTCACATTATGAGAATAAGATATAGTAACACCAAGGCAGGTATAGGGTAGATAGACTGATTTCAATGCTTATAGAGTAATGGCAAATAGGCAAAATAAAAATAGCATCTACTCCACTAAAAGGGATTATATGCTATCCTATATGCCTCCTGAAGTATAAACATAGATACTTTGGTCCACACAATCTCACTGGAGATCAGAAGGGACATATATACATGCACAGGGTATGCCAAACCAACATCTGACTGCAGTATTTGTGTTTCAGTAGTTTATAATCTAAGGCCTCCTTCACTGAAATTGATCAAGTGAAGGGTAATTAAGCAAATCACAAATAACAATGAACTAACTAAATTAGTACAACATTAAAGTTATGGTTAAAAACATCACAAAAGTCAACTAACATATAAATTAAGGTTATGACTACTAACCAGCTTAAGATGGCCATCTTCCACATTCCATGCATGTTGTGGAATATATTAAAATTAGTCACTAATCAAGATCGAAAATTGTAGTTGGAACAATGGGTGGCACACAAGTGCCATTTATCTCACCCAAGAATTCAGTTACATAAAAACATGCATTTTCTGGTGGCTATTTTAGCCTTTGAAACATCTACATTTTATTTTTTCATATTAGAGTGGGAAATTATGCTTAGACAAAAAGGATACACCTACACAAGACGTGTTAATGCACATTAGACCAAGATAACCCAGTGCAGCTTCTGACCATCCTGGGGCGCTGCGGAGATGGTTTTCGTTGCCAGGCAGATCCAATAAAAATGTTGGGAGCAAAAATCAAGAACCGTTCCTCGCCTTCAGTGACCTGACCAAGGCGTTCATTTCCTTAAACTGTGAAGCTCTGTGGACTATCCTCCAACACCTTGGCTGCCCACTGAAGTTTGTCACCATGCTGAGGCTCCTGTGTGATGATATGACCGCCACTGTCCTGAGCGGAAGATCTAAAATCAATGCCTTCTGCATCCAGACCAGGGTCAAACAAGACTGCATGATTGCCCCTACCCTGTTCACCATCTACCTGACCGTCAGTTTCATAGTTTCTAATGTTGGAAGGGACCTGAGCAGATCATTGAGTCCAACCCCCTGCCATGGCAGGAAAGTACTGGGGTCAAACGACCCCAGCAAGGTGTTCATCTAGCCTCTTCTTAAAGACCCCCAGGGTAGGAGCCAGCACCACTTCCCTTGGAAGTTGGTTCCAGATACTAGCCGCCCTAACTGTGAAGTAGTTCTTATGGATGTCTAATCTAAACCTACCCTCCAAAAACTTGTGGCCATTATTCCTTGTTATGCCATGGGGCGCTAGGGGAAACAAGGTCTCTCCCAAACCCTTCTGGTCCCCCCTATTGAGTTTATAGATGGTCACCACGTGCCCCCTCAGCCTTCTCTTGTGAAGGCTGAACAGGTTCAGGTCCTGCAGTCTCTCATTGTA